ACTCCTCGGAAGGAAGATGGGGCAATCTACTTCCGTAGTGATACTGCCTCAGAAACCCAAGGAGGGGTCACTGTGAGTCGGATCTGATCCAACTGCAGTGAGTTTAGTATTTTTTTTTTAATATGGCTTTTAGATTTTTAGATTGATTTGATAGAGCATGTGTAATTTAGGTGGTGTGATTTAAATTTCTCAAGTCGTTACTTTGGTATAAAAAGTTTAAGATTATATTTGTTATATATCTAAGGGCTTTACACATGGTGTTGATTATATTGGCTCTAATGAAATATTTAATTTATCCTATATTTTTAGGCATCCACAGTTATTTCAGGAAATTCTTCTAGTACCAGTGTTTCCTCTTCAGCAACTAGTGGCCTAACTGGATGGGCAGCTTTTGCAGCCAAAACCTCCTCTGCTAGCCCATCAACAGCGAAATTGAGTTCAACAACACAAAACAATAGTGGGAAACCTACTACCTCATCAGCTAACCAGAAGCCTGTAGGTTTGACTGGTCTGGCAACATCATCCAAAGGTGGAATAGCTTCCAAATTGGGTTCCAGTAACAGCACTACACCCACTGTACCACTGAAACCACCTCCACCTCTAACCTTGGGCAAAACTGGCCTTAGTCGCTCAGTTAGTTGTGACAATGTTAGCAAAGTTGGTCTTCCTAGTCCAAGTAGTTTAGTTCCAGGAAACAGTAGCCAACTAAGTGGGAATGGAAATAGTGGAGCATCAGGACCTAGTGGAAATACCACTAGTAAAACCACTTCAGAATCAAGCAGTTCTTCCTCAGCGTCCCTCAAAGGTCCAACTTCACAAGAATCCCAGCTCAATGCCATGAAGCGATTACAGATGGTCAAGAAGAAAGCTGCCCAAAAGAAACTCAAGAAGTAATGTGGCCAAGTCAGTTTTTACATCACATTGCCTAAAGATGAAAATCTTATTATTATGACAAAAACTGTAATAGACTGTAATTTAATAAATATCTTCATACTCAAACTTCGATTTTTTTTTTTACCTTAAAATGTTAAATATTAATTGGTAAAACTTAGACTTAAAACAAAAAAAGATTCTATCTTTTACCATTTTTGTTTTGTTAACAATTCTATAGTGCGTGAAAACAATGATTAACATGACTAATTCTTAATGAGAACTCCCAGAATCCTAGAAGATTGATAAATACACAGATTTAAAGAAAAAGAAGTCATCTGTCTTTTAGCAAAGCCCCAAGAAGTATCCTGCTGATACCTTACACGATGGCAGTGATGGTAGACTGTAGTTTTGTACTCTCAATATTCTGGGTATTCAGTGTCAGTCCGCAACCTGGCTTCAATTGATTCCCCTTCTCCCCTGAGTTAATTCAGCTTGCCACTCCTCAAAATTACTTTTTTATCATTGATTTATCATGTTCTTCTATTTTTCTTTACCTTTTTTTAATTAGTGCCTACCAGTTATTTAGGCACTTACATCTTCCAATAGATAGTGAATTCCCATGCCCTTTTAATATAATACTTTTCCCCCATGCCAGTGCAGCATATGCATGTAGTATATACTGAATAAACACTGAATTTTGACTCATCCTATTACACACATCCTCTGAGAATTCTTAAGAAAAATACCCATTCCTAAGACTCTTTATGCATGGGTAAATTTCTGACTTATTTACACCATGACAGCATCTTCCTATGAAGAAAAAGCTGTTTATTTTACTGCCAAAAACATTATAGAATGTTGCCTAATATTCCTTAGTACACAAGAAGCTTCTGTGTAATGGCTAATTCTTAAGATTGTTTTTAATTATGCATGTATGTATTAAGCAGAAAGTGTGAAGGATCTTGGTTGCCCTACTTGCAAGATAACAAATTAGGCTGCCACACTTTTACATATATGTACACACATATATTTATATGTACATTATATTTATATAGGTATATATGTACATATACAACACACACACATATGAGGCTTTCTGGAATACAGAAACAAGTTTATTACTCTGTAAAATGTAGCAGCCGGAACAATGACTTGGCACTGATTGCTGGAGCCCCAGGGCCAGGAGAGCCAGGTGTAATCTGTGCATGCAGTGGGCTTGCATCATGGAAAAGGAACCGCAAAATTAGGAGATTCATTTTTTTATAGGCTGCTGCCGCCCATCTTCCCCTCCAGATAGATACTTCATTGGCATGGAATTTAAGTAAATGTCTCCAGGAAGGGAAAGAGGGTTTTACATCTCCAAACCCCTCCAGAAGTCTGTCTCTTTGGGGAGACTAGCTTTCAAGTCTGTCTTATGGAAACATCTTTGCAGTACCCTTTGCTCAGAAGATCAGAGTCATGCAGAACTTTGAAATATTCATGCAACATTGTCTTGCACATATGTTAGTCATTGCAAAAAGGATTTTGTTGTTCAAGAATACCTCATTTCATCCAGATGCTAGAAGTCCAACAAATTCGTACTTTCACAAACCTGAGCAGTCTTGTTCCACCAACCTTACAGTAAAGTCACTAAATCTTCATCCTATAAACCTCTAATTTCAAATCCTCTCCATTAACTCCTAGATGTATGTAAATTCTAAACTATATCGTTAAATGATTTCTAGAAGGTAAATTTAGGAAATGATTTTTCGTTGAACATCACTCATGGTATGGATAATTTATGTGTATAAATACAGAGAAATATATGCACATAGGTATAAATAGGTATACGTCTATAAGGTATTGTGATAGTTGGAGCTGTGTGTCAACTTGGCTGGACCCCAGTTCTGTGTGGTTGTTCCCATGATGTGATCGATGACTGTGTTCTGAGTGGCCAATCTGCCCAAGGGGAGTTTCCTTAGGGGTGTGGCCTGCTTCCAGGATATCCAGGGACATCCTGGGAAGAGAGACAT